GCTTGCACCTGGCACGGGCACCGTAGCCAGCCCGTGCCCCTTTAAGGGATCCGGGGCCGGGAGAGGGGCATACGAGTTTCCCTGGTGTTGGCCAGAGTGGCCACCAGGGAAACCTGGGGAGGACTAGCCTCCCACTAGTTCGAATTAAGGGTCTACACAGCCCTTAATTCGAACTAGTAAGTTCGAACTAGGCTTAATCCTCGTGGAAAGAGGATTACCTAGTTCGAACTAAGCGCTCCGTTATTTCGAATTAAGTTCGAACTAACGCAGCACGAGTTTCCCTGGTGTTGGCCAGAGTGGCCACCAGGGAAACCTGGGGAGGACTAGCCTCCCACTAGTTCGAATTAAGGGTCTACACAGCCCTTAATTCGAACTAGTAAGTTCGAACTAGGCTTAATCCTCGTGGAAAGAGGATTACCTAGTTCGAACTAAGCGCTCCGTTATTTCGAATTAAGTTCGAACTAACGCAGCGCTAGTGTAGCGCCTATGAAAGTTAGTTCGAACTAACGTCTGTTAGTTCGAACTAACTTTGTAGTGTAGACATACTCTAAGATAATATATTTTATTAAACTAGCTTGTGTTGGTGAGAGAGGCAGCTTTTGAGCTACACAAAGCTCCTCTTCAGGTCTAAGAAAAGGAATTCTAAGTATCACAACAAAATGCAGGATGGAACAGACTGTTTACTTATGGTGTACTAATTATTTATGGTGATTTCCCACCATTAGTTTTCTGACCCAAACATTTCACCAGCTACCTTATGTAATTTAAAAAAAAAAAAAGAGAGAGAGAGAGAGAGAGAGCGCTCCCCTTTTGGTCAAAGACTTTCAGAGAAGACATCTTCTGAAGAACAACCACCAAAGCCAGCTAGTATTTATCTTCATTCTCATTTCCCACTAATATCAAATTAACCACTTGCTCATCAACTAAATAGAAGGGCTAATATTAATTTCCTTCTTTGTTACTCTCTCACTTATGGATCAACCATTTGCTGATCTGTTGGGTATAGTTCACATGCAGTATTGTTTGTTTGTTTTTTTGGGGGAGGAGGAGTACTTTTCCCACGTGTATTGTTTAGTTATTTCCATGCCTCTGGTTTCATCTCTAAGCCTTCATAGTTGAAAGGACAAATAAAATGTTGGGTTTAGCTACATGACATATGTTCTTAGCTTCTGATGGGCCTGATCCCAAGAAGAGCAAAATATCCACTTCTAAGAAGGCAGAAACTATCATTTACTACAAGCTTGTACAATACCTAAACAGATTGGGTACTATTGTGCTAAGGCACTTCCATGCTACCGCAATATGAATGCATTTGATTTGTCAAAATTTCAATACTAAAGAAAAAAATCTCTGCTATCTGCAAGATAGATCTCAGAAATACAGAAAGCTGTTTTTTCTATACTATAACATAGTGCTTAAAGACCCACTCGAATTTTCACAAAAATGCATAGTACAGAATTTAGGGATGTAATAGTGTAACCATTTAAATGGTTAACCAATAAGCATGAGCTTATCTGTTACCATAACGATTACACACTGGCTCCTAGCCCCACTCTTGGGGAGCTGGCTCTCATCCTGCACTGCTGGCTCTGTATCAGAGCCTGCACGCAGGGCAGCAGATGGCTCCGTGGGAGCAGGACTGGGAGGTGGAAGTGGGGCCAGGAGTCAGTATGGGCTGGGAGTCAGCTTACAGAGTCAGCAGTGTGGGGTGGCAGCCGGCTTCCTAGGAGGGGAGTTAGTTCCTGCCTGCCACACCAGGTGTGCACTGGCTGCCAGCCCCATGCCCCGGGAGCCAGCTGTGCTGCAGAATAAGCTTTATAATGCAGAGCCATAATGTGTAACCGTGTAACCACTAAGATTTTTTAACAGATACAGAGTTACCTAATTAACTGCTTTTTAACATCCCTAGTACAGATTTTCAGTTCTGCATGTCTTCTGCATTTTTTACAGCAAAGTATTAGAAAATAACATATTTTGACCAAATGTGGGTGAATTTACCTGGAGACAAAAGTCACATGTGTTATCTAAAACAGGTTGATCTTTAGACAAATGAAGGAGTACATCCTGTTTTATAATCTTGGAATAACTTAATATCACAGGTATCATTTGAAGTGTTCTAAAAAAGGAATCATTTAGAGTCATGTGATCTTACCCACCATTACATTTTTTAATTAGCACTATCCATGCTTTTTTCATTAGGAATATAAAAGGACTAGTATTTCCTTCTGACAATACCAGCTCAAATACATTGGCAATTAGCACAATTAATAATAAAAAATAGCTAATTCTCTGATTATTGTGTTCTCCAGTAACATTTTCAGTGTAATCATAAATTGTAAAATGCTAATTAGTCGTCCATTTTCATGTGATAGGAGATCCTTTTCAGAACCCTATTTTATCTGAAACCATCAAATATAGGAATAAAAACAAAATATTATAAATCTTAACACTTTAAGAATTTGTTTTTTTTCAAAGCCTAATTTTATTATATTCAAATCATAGCCAAAGAAAAGGTGTTCAAATGCTCAACAAAAGACAGGTGTTCACTAGTTCATGCAATGCAACTTTTTCATATTTGTCTTGTATGATAATTACACACACTACATTTAGTTAGGATTCAAACTCGGTAAAAAAAATTTACATGCAAAAAATTAAATATTACTAGAAATAGTGGACTTGGAAATGAGTTTCACAGCTAAGACATTCGATTTGTCCTTTTCTCACACTATAATATCTTAAATATGAAGGCCAAAGTGCATATGACAGGCTTCTACCGTGATACTTATGGGAAACTCCTAGCTTTTAATAACTAGATAGAAGTTTAATAACTAGACCACTGCTATCATTTTTAATTATTTGCTTGCTTATACCTTCTAGTTGTACAAATAACTAGTTAATGTAACAAAATCAGGCTGTTTGGTACATAATCATATTTTTATCCAATCTGACAGAATAAAAAGACCTTAAAATGAGTGAAAAAGACTCCTTTCATGGACATGGGAGGACATCTGATTGGTATAAGGACTCTTCAGGGGCCAGACTCCCAGAAATAAACACAGTGGCTACGTCTAGATTGCATCCCTTTATCGTAAAAGGGATGCAAATTAGACGTATCACAATTGCTAATGAAGCGGGGATTTAAATCTCCCCCGCTTCATTAGCATAAAAATGGCTGCCACTTTTTTTCGGCACGGAGCTTTGCCGGAAAAAAGTGCCAGTCTAGACGCGGATTTTTCGGAAAATAAAGCCTTTTCCGAAAGATCCCTTATTTTAAGAGGGATAAGGGATCTTTCGGAAAAGGCGTTATTTTCCGAAAGATCCGTGACTAGACTGGCGCTTTTTTCCGGCAAAGCTCCGTGCCGAAAAAAAGCGGCAGCCATTTTTATGCTAATGAAGCAGGGGAGATTTAAATCCCCGCTTCATTAGCAACTGCGATACGTCTAATTTGCATCCCTTTTACGAAAAAGGGATGCAATCTAGACGTAGCCAGTGGGTAGATCAGGAACATGTTGGGGGTGTGGCTTCCTATATTATGGCAGCTATTTGCTCCTGAGGGCCCACAAATGCAAATTATAAATTAAAGCTACCTCGAACTGTCTTAAATTAGGGTTGATCTATGGCTACACTGTTTTTGTACTACTATATTGATTTAGAAACCAATATATCTAAAACAGTACAACTTCATAGTGTGGACACAGTTATACCACATAATGATATACGTTATTCAAATAATTAGCACTCATGTTGCACCTTAGTGACTAACAAATATATCATGAGTTTTCATGGGTAAAACCCACTTCATCAGATGAGCTGGAGTGGAAATTACAGAATCCAGAGTATATATAACAATAAAGCAGTTACCTATTAACTGTAGGAGTGTTAATGATGCTAATTGAGTCAGGCTGAATGTGTCCCATTCATAGCTTTTGATGGGTAAATGCAAATCTTAAAGGCAGAGAAATAGACTAATGCATTAATGAATTAATATCTTTATTCAAGACAAAGTTGATAGTATCAAATTTGTAAATGAATTCCAGTTGCGCAGTTTCCCTCTGTAACCAGGTGATAATTCCTTGGTAGAAGAATGGTTACTTTTAAATTCATTATTGAATGTCCAGGAAAATTAAAATGTTCTCTAGAGGTTTATGCAGTCTACCATTCCTGATGTCTGATTTGTGTCCATTAATCCTTTGTTGCAGAGACTTTATGTATAGTACAATATAAGCACCTATACATGATATAAGCTATACCAGTATAGGTTGAACCTCTCTAGCCCAACATTCTCTGGTTCAGCAACATCTGCGGTCCAGCATGATTTAGTTAGCCAGATGTCCACTTATCATGGGTGTGTCCAAGTTTCCTGCGGTCCCATACAGTTTATTTACAGCCACCTGTCCTGGCTCTCAGTGTTCTCTGCTATTATTTAGCTCTAATTTACCCTTAAATGCCTTCTAAGAGTCCAGTACGCATTGGAAATGTTGGCAATGCTACTAGGCAATATTGACTTCCCGTGGTTCAGAAAATTCTCTGGTTCGGCAGTGGTCAGGTCTCAAGGATGCTGCACTAGATATGTTCAACCTATATAAGAACCTTTATATTGTATTCAATAATCTATAACCGTTCCATTCACTAAGGTGTATCAATACAAGCAACTTTAAAAATCTAGTACTAGGGATTTATACCATTTTAACTATATAGGTTTTAAACCCCTAATTATGGTGCTACAAAAACTGTCTGTCGACTGGCCTTTAAGCTCCTAGTGCAGGGACTGTCCCTTTACATGGATTTGTATAATGGTTTGCACAACAGAACCCGAGTCATGATTAGGGTCTTTGGTAAATACAGCAAAATAAATAAATGCATATATAATTTACATATTTTTTCTATTCACTAATACCATAGTCACTGCATAACTTTCAGGCATCGGTATCCATTCATCTGCACCAGGTTTTCATCAGACATTAGTCTTCTCTACAAGACCTTCCTTCAAGCCATTATGTTTTCTTCATATTTATCTTCAGATCTCCCTTCTCAGTAAAACATTTTGAGACAAATCCTTCCTTGTACCATGCAGATGTGCTAAGGGAAATGGACATAGGAAGCCTCTGTCCTCCATGAAAACAGTAACACAGTATCTCTACTTAGGGCTCAGAAAAGTACAAGGAGTGGTTCACTTATATGTCTGCTAAGCTAGTCCTCATAAACTTTACTGGGACAGGAACTGCTAGCTAGGGTACATGGGAAAGGAGCAGCTCACTAAAGCATAGTTTGCATTTGGTGAGCAATGTTCATTTACAAAACAGAAGTAAAGTGCATCAGGTAATGAAGACTCACTCTTTCTGCCAGCACTGGAGCTGTCAAATAATACTTAGTCAAGGAATTTTGTTATATTTTAAAATACATTATTTTATGAATGTTTTATTCTATTATTTGACCAGCATACAGAGGCTATTGAATAACTTGTGAACATATTTAATTAACCATGCATTCAATTATTTGTGAGTTTTTCAATTAAATACATGAAGAATAATATATTTCTATTGGCCACACAACTCCAACCAGTAAAATGGTAAATGTGTGTTCTCTGTTTGCCTCCACCAGTTAAGGACAAGATTTTGCCTTCTTTATATTAGTATAGTACATTTGCCAGTGCAGCTGTAACTCAACATATCAAGAATGAAATCTTGGCCCCACTGCACGCAATTGAAGTTTTCCAGTTGACTTCAATGCAGTTCACATTTCACTACAAATACCTATTTCCATGGATTACCATTTACATTCTTTTGTATTTTCAGTTTTTAAAGACAATTATCGCTGCTATTATTGCATGTAATAGAGCAATTAAAACAATTTACTTTGCGGTGATATAATAAGCATAAGGAAACTGAAATAAAAACAGTCTAGGCCTCTGTCTGCATCAAGATCTACACTGTCCAATTTTTAAAACCAATAAGAGTCCTAATGCAAAAATCAGACTCTGTTACATATAGTATGTAATTTCTTTCGTCGCTCTTATATAATTTCCAATATTTTCCATATTCAAAACCACATTATGCTTCTAACAAGTGAACAAGAGAGACCCTATTAAATTTTCAAGTTTAAGTGCCTTATTTGGCATTGCAAATTTTAATAACTTCCTGAAGAACCCTCTTGACTCTCATTTTTTATTAAACATTATTTCTTTTCACCGTTTAGATTATATCAATGTCGTTCCTAGTGGTATTTTTCTCATAATATGAGAGACTAGCTAATATGGCATCAAAGCTCCTTCCCTTTCCAAGCATTTCTTTTTTTCTAGTAATTTTAATTCCATTTTTTAAATAATTGAGGCACCTCAAATTTAGAAATAATTTGTCATAACCAGAGTAGACTAAACTGATTGTTTTCTACCCTGGCTCTCTGCTAAAACCAGTATGAATTTTGAAAATTAACTTCAAAATGTGATAGTATTTATGCTTTTAATCTATAGATCCCGCAAAACAATGGTACTTTAATTTGGTCCTTTAACATTGTGCTAATATTACATCCTTCCCCATGGACTGTGCCTTGACATGATGGGAAGGCTTGAGTACTCCCATGACCCTGAGAACTAAGCTTGGCAGGAATATAACTGGCATAAATTAATTTTTTTATCTACATCTATTTTAAGTAATTGCCCTTGTGTGGCATGTAGGATATCTTTACTTTGTTTATTCATGCCAATACAGTAAATGCAAATATGTTAATCACATAGGATCGAATTCTGCAATCCTTATAAAATAAACTTTCATTAAACTTTCGCACTTGTTCATCTAAGGACTTCAGAATTTAAGCTCATAAACAGGAGGCTCAATCTGAAAAATCTTACTTTTCCAAATAATCTTCTTTACTCGTGTGAGTAAAATCTCATTGACTTCAGTGGGATTCCCTTGTTTTTCCTGTCCTTAAAAGAAAAAAGGTAAGACATCCCAGCCCCCCTGAAGTCAATGGTAAACCTCTATTGACTTCTAGGTGAAATCCTGTCTCCATTAAAGAGCAAAACTAGGATTTATAAAAGAAAATGTTAGTTGTTGTGTTCAAAGACGATACCGTGCAATTTTATTCTTCATAGCATCTTTCACATAAACTGCATGTAAAAACATAAGAAGTTTTAGTACACTCCAAATGCATTAAGTGAACTTCAGCGTATAGGATACCACATAAGATCCATTTGTGACATTAAATCTTGAACCATCAGTGTAGCAAGATAAAAATTTATTTGCAAGTTTTTAAAAAGACAAGCAAATTTTTAGAGAAAAAAAAATATACATCCCACAGATGTAAAGGCTTATCATTTCTTATCCTGAGACTGCTTATCATTTGCTGCATAAAAACATACAATCACAACTTGAACAAGGTAGAAAAATGAAATTGAGGATGCAAACTGCAATTAGGCCCATTCTTTCAAAGTATTCACAGGTATCAAGGTGTGACTTTCTGAATTGAGTCAGACTGTGTTTAAATTATGAGTTTCACTGAAGAACACAGCTCAAAAATCTTTCATTACAAGATTGGCTAGCCATAGCTAAAACAAGATTTTAATTTAACCTAAAACAAGGGGGTTTCCTCTCCAAGTGAGAGAGACTAGGCAGGGCTGATTTTATTGTCAGGTTTTTTAAGAGTGAAGGCTTGAAATACTGTATTAATAATCTCTCTCAAATTACTAGAGAATGGAACTAATTGCAAAGGTTGTTAGCAATAGGAAGAAACAAAGTATTTGCTTGCTTTTAAACACTAGTGCTGCTGTATCCAAAATTAACCTGCAGCTTCTTTTGAACTGGGTGTGAAAATTGCATGCACTTTTTATAAGCGCAAAGAAACCCACAGGCCCTTAATTCGTTAAAACCATGAATATGAGCTGTCCTTAAACCAGGCTCTAAATCTAACTTTAACATACAGGTTGTGAAATTAAATCTAGAAAGCAGCTCGACTTGTTTCCTGTTTTATTCCAAGGCACGATTGGATTATTCCACCTATATGGATTGCAACCAGACTGCAGGAAGGGTAGCAAGAGGAGCACGTTTCAATGAACTGCGAGGTCAATCACGATTTATAAAATACTGCATTAATTACGATTAGAGCAACAACAAAAAACAACAGCGATCCCTGAGCCCGTGCACTGTACCGTTGTAAAAAGAGTGGAGACTCTTCTCACCTTCCATGCTGCAGTTCCGTATGCTCCCTACTCCACGTGCTGCTGCTGCTCCAGGGCTCTAGGATTCACAACTGCAACAGGCGGGAGATTCCCAGCAACTGGGCTTCCGCTCTGGAGAGAAGCTTGTGACATCAAGCATTTAAAGGGACAGGAACTGCTTTTCTATGTGATTAGAGCGGCGCCGGGTGGTGGTTTGACAATCTCGTGCAAAACTGCTGCGAGAACACAGAGCTCCCTTTAATGAGACTGTGCAAAATAATGTCCACCTCTGGCAGGAGAAATTGGTGCATTTCAGAATTAGCCATTGTGATCGTTAATGGATTCGTTTTAAAAGTCATTTCGTGTGATTGAAATATATTTAATCTCAGCACACAAAAATGCCTCCTCCACAGCCAAAATCTGTTGCCCGCAAGAAGTTATCTACAGTGATACGTTTCTGAGAGTTACTCTTTTAAGATCATACATTTTGATAGACAGAGGCAGTTGGACTAGTGCTAAGATAAATATTTAAAAGGCCATTAGGATTTTTAAAAAAGGCTTATTCTTAGTCCTGTTATCTGAGATTTATAAGCATCATAACGTTTTACTCTTCTCCAGCAGCCTTCATCCCAAAGTGCTTTGCAAACAACCTGTAGTACAGACAGGGCTGGACCGAGCCATTCCGGCGCCCTGGGCAGACAGTTTAACTGCGCCCCGGGTTGGGGGAGGGCGCATGTGCGCCCCTGCCCCCGTGCCAGCACGTAGGAGAGGGTGCATGCGCAGCCCCACCCCTGCCCGGCGTGTGGTGGAGGGCGCGCGGAGCTGGCGGCGGCAGGACGCACATGCTCTGCCCAGCCCAGCCCAGCTACCGCCGCTGGCACGCAGCCTGGGGCTGCCCGGGGCAGGCTGGGGCTGGCCATGGAGGGCCCCATGGGGGCTGCTGGCCAGTACTGTGGGGGTTAACGCAGCCCCTGCCCCGGGCGGCCGCTGCAGGGTGGCGGCTGGGAGCTGCTGCAGCCTGCAATCCGGGAGCCGGGCATGCGGCGCCTGATGGCAGCTATAAGGGGGTGCTGTGCACCCCTTACAGAGGCCATCAGGCACCCCCCAGAGGTTGGTGCCCTGGGCAGCTGCCCGACTAGCCCATGCCCTGAGTACAGAGGCATTGTAATGCAGCTATCTCGGTCCTACCTCACCAATCTGTGCTTGGGATGCTTCATAACAGTGCAGAGAAATGGGAAATTTTTGGTAAGGATATAAGGGCAAACACCGATAGTCACACAAAGCACCAATGGATCAAACAGTATCATGGCAAACCCTACTCCTGGAAAAAGGGTCACAACAAACTTCATGGATCTTTATCTGCAGAGATGGCTTTGTGATTGCCAAGTAAAGAAAGCAATGGACTGGAAGGGTCCCTTGGAGTATGTCTAGACTACATGCCTCTGGTAACAGAGGCATGTAGATTAGGCTGCCCGGCATAGGAAAATGAAGTGGCGATTTAAATAATCACCGCTTCATTTAAATTAAAATGGCTGCTGCGCTGAGCCGATCAGCTGTTTGTCGTCTCAGCGCGCTAGTCTGGACGCTCTGTGGTCGACATCAAAGGCATTTGTCAACCGCCCCGGTAAACCTCATCCCACGAGGCATAATGGGGCAGTCGACAAATGCCTTTGATGTTGACCGCGCACATCCAGACTAGCGCGCGGAGCTGACAAACAGCTGATCAGCTCAGCGCAGCAGCCATTTTAATTTAAATGAAGCGGCGATTATTTAAATTGCCGCTTCATTTTCCAACTCCAGCTATGTGGCTGCTAAATCCTATTCCCCGGATTACATTGTCTCCCTGGAAGCCTCCCAAAAGTATATGATCCACCCTGGAGGTTTCACTGGTGGAACAGAGAATAAGGTATTGTGTGACTGCTCCTCTCCATGGCGCTAGAATGGAAAATTGGGATAGGTTGCTGAGGATGCACCCCTAAAATGAGGTTTCCTTTGCTATCAAGTCTTGATAGATACATATTTTTCTTAGTTCCAAGGGACTTGGTCCAGGAAAGTTTCTTCACATATACAATGTTATGATTCAAAACACATTTACTTTTAAAGCAGTGGGCCCACACTGATAAGCAAAAGCTATAGACTACACACATTTCTCCTCCCCCCCTCCCCCCCCCGCCCCAGTAAATTTTTTCAGCCCTCCCTTGCTCTGGGTCCAGGACCTACCCCTGCTGCAGCTCTGCATTTAAAGTATATTAGGAGCCGGGAGGGCAGGCAGACCATCTCAGTTCCAGCTCGGACTGGGAGATCTGCCCCCCCCACCCCCGGACAGGGGGTGCTGTCTCCCTGCACTGCTACCTCTGTATCAGAGGCAGCAGTGTGGACGGTGGCAGCAGGCCGACAGTCTGTGAGGGGAGCTGTTTTTTAAACTGGCTCCCCTCAGAACAGCTCCTGCCTGGCACCCCATGCAGCTGCCTCTAAAACAGAGGCAGCAGCGCAGAGTGGCAGAGGGCTCCTTGGGAGTGGGGCTGGAGGGCACTGGCTGCCAGCTGGCCCCACCCTCAGGGACTATAGAATAGTCGAGTAACCAATAAGAATTCATGAGGTTAATAGACTATTCAATTCACCGATATTTAACATCCCTACCTGGTATTACTAAAATGACACGCATATAAAGAAAGGGCACGTTGACAGGCCCGTATGCAGGAATTTCTGTGGGAGGGTGCTTTTTTTGTAAATGTGGACCACAAGGGTGTGAATGCATCCCCATGGTCCCCCAGGTGAGCAGGGAAATCAGCCCCAGCATTCCCCTGGCTAGTCAGAGTATGGGGAAGGGATGCTCAGACAGTGGGCTGCTCCTGCCTTCCCCTGGCCAGCCGGAACCTGCTTACTTGGGGGACCATGGGAAGGTGCTTTTGCACCCTTCGCACACACACCCCTGCGTATGGGGCTGGTGTCGATTGCACACAACATTGACTGTGAGACATCCAATCAAAGCTGCTATGATTCAATTGGCACACACTGCAAATTCTAGGCACACAAGCGCAGTTAAAACTAACCTATCCCAGGAGACCATCTTGATTACAACAATCTTGCAGCCCACTGAGATGAAGGAGGGCCACTCATGAGGCCCACTCACTAACCTAGGTTGCCAATTGCTGTTTTAAAGGAATGGCCAAAGAGCATTAAGGAGTTCCATATGTCCTACGCCTGACCTCATCTTTAATGAAAGCAGGCAGTCAGCAGATGCTACAGTTTCCAGCATATATGACTCATCTTGGTTCAGTTGAACTACTGTTGTCTATACGGTATATGCCTCCATATTAAATATAAGAGACGGATGCAATGTGTTCTTTTCAAGCAATTTGCCGGTGTAGCCCACATTTGGGAAACAGTTTACCACTCCTTCTGTAAAGTATAATATAATGGGCCCATAATCCATTAAAACATTTTTCCAGGTAAAAATAAGTGCTCATCATTTATACATTGTTTTTTATTTTTTAAGTCCTTTACAACCATTACCCACAATACCCTGTACCCACAAAGCCATTTGTGGGCTACTTAGTTTAGGTCACATATTAATTACTCAAAAGACAGCTGTCACTCACTCAGAACTACCTTGCCTTGGTGGGTTTGTGACTCATTTCTTACAATTTGACAAAGGTAGTTTAGGACTTTGTTGGGATAAGTGTTGTAATAGAATACCACCATACCCCAGCATATTTTCCTTTTTTATATATTTAATTTCCTTTATCTGTAACTTGGATTGCTATTGTTTTTACATCATGTAAACATGATGACATGGTCTTCAGAGACTTGCATCAACCCTGTTTTTTCTATATTATTCACCCTCCCAGGCTTGCATATATATTACCATGATATTGCAGAGACAACACTAGGCTTTGTTTTAATCTTACCTTTTTTTAAAAGCAAAAATAACTCAGCTGTTTAAAAAATGTCAAATTAGAAAAATGCCTAGTAAACACCAGTAATTAATGCATTTCAAAAACCTTTCCTGCTAACGGTGAATCATTTTTGTTCCTACAACTCAACAAAAAATAGCATGAAACTGAGTCTCATAAACAGCTGGGTACAAAATCATCTGAAGTTTTGAGTGAGTAAAAATTGACAGGTTAACTATAGATAATTTTTCAATTTTTTTATCAGAGTTCTGAATTATTTACCAAAAAATGGCTGTTATGAGATTGTAAATGCTCTAGATATTAAAACCTACACATCATCAACTGGCATAATCACAACAACACTCAGCTCATGGAATAATTAGACATCATCTTATATTTGTATGTGCATCTTCAAACTCTGATAAGAGAAAAATAGTGTACTGTGAAAGTAAGGTAAAAAAACCCATGAATACGTTAGACCAGAGGTCGGGAACCTAAGGCCTGTGGGCCAGATGTGGCCCCTGGCTTGCCTGGATCAAGGCCACAAGACTGAGAGACACCTTCCAGCATTGGGGAGTCATGCTGGCACTCTAGCCCTCCCCTTTGTCACCCCATCTGCGGGGCTCGAGCACACAAAAACTACTAGGCTGGTTCACCCTAGGCTCTGGTGCGCAAGGGGAATGTGGGAGTGTCTTTCTCCTTCTCAGCTGAGGGCCAGGTCAGTGAGGGTTTGGTTTGCGTTTTTTGCTTCTCACTTGTGTGTGGCCTGTCGGGTTGCCAGATGGTTTCAGAAAAAACACCGGGAAAAAAAGGGCCCCCGAAAGTTATTAAGCAAAACAATAAAAAACAAAACAGTGTGGCCCCTTTAAGAAATGCATGATGCTTTTTGGCCCTAACGGGCTGCCATCTTGCCTTTCTGTGCGGAGCCGGACAGCTCCGCGAGGAACCCAGTAAGCACTAGGGTTGGCAGGCTGCCTCCGTACTGAGCCGGACAGCCCAGG